TCTCCTGCAGCCCCCCAATTGCCCCCTCTCCCCAGATGGCAGCCTGCGGCAAGTGCAGCCGGGCTGATGGCCGAGTGGTGTGATGTGCCCAGTGTGGGCACTCCGGGCACTCCAAGCCAGGACTGGTTTTCAAGCGGGGCACCCCTGAGAACTGTCTGTCCGGGGTGGGGGTCAGGACCCTTTAAGCACAGCCCTCGGCTAGCCTGAGACAGCATCTCCACACTCTAAGTCCTCCTCTGATGCCCTGCCGGCACTGCTTCTGGCCATCCTTAAGCCCGGTTCAGGGTCCACTTAATGTGGACATGCTAGTTCGAACTAGCAAAACGCTAATTCGAACTAGTTTTTAGTTCTAGACGCGTTAGTTCGAATTAGCTTAGTTCGAATTAACTAATTCGAACTAAGTTAGTTCGAATTAGCGCTGAAGTGTAGACGTTCCCTTAGTCTGTAAGGTGCCACAGGACTCCTCGTCGCTTTTGCAGAGTCAGACTAACACGGCTACCCCTCTGACTCCTGCACAAGAAAACTCTCATGAGAAGTGTCCCTCAAGAGGGATGGAGGGAGGTAGAAAGACATTGGAGAGTGTAGCTCTGCACTACTGTATTGAGGACCCAGTAGTCTGAGGTCATAGCTGTCCACACCAGAAGGAAAAAAGGAAAAGTATGTGGAGAAAACTAGAAATCAGATCTGGGGAGCAGGCTGGTAGGTCGCCCTCGGGTGTATCCTCCAAGCAAATTTCTGGCTTCATGCTTGGAGCGGCTCGAGGTTGGGGGATGGTGACTCAGGTGGTGTCTGTAGCTCTTGGACTTTCTGCAGCAGGTCTTCCTGGCTCTGGCTCCGTTGCTGATGAGGTATTTGCAGTTTGACTTGCTTACGTGCAAGGACCGAGATGTACAGCCCCATGGTTTTCAGGGTGGCCTGGCAGACCTGCAGCTCATGCAGCTTGCTATCCATCTGCTCCACAGATAGATCCTGCTCATCAAAGGGAAAGTCCCATAGCAAACTCTGAGCCTCAGAGAACAACCCAGAGAGGAGCAGCAAGGAAGCTCAGGTGACAAACTCTGTCACATCCGATGCTGCTTGAGGAACTACCCTAGCCATGTCCGTGCCCTCCCCGAGGACTGCCCAGACTTCTTTGTGGGAACATTCCAGGAGGGAAGTCTCAAACTTGGCACAGTTTGCCACATATTAAATTCATTGAGTGGTTGGCCACTGTCCTCTGTAGGCTAGACAATGAATACACTTTACATGTAAACAGGTCTAGCCTCCTGGAGGCTTTATTTTAGAGGTAGGACAGGGTTGCCCCTGATTCTCCCAATGGTTAACAGCCTCAACCACCAGGAAATTAGCAGCAGAGTGAGATTACAGGTAATCGTGCCCCTTAGTTGAAACAAAGTACTTATGCTCTGCTGGCAAGGGCTGCCAAGGGCTGAGGAGGAGAGGATGTTGAAAACAGAGTTCGCCAATTCTTCCCCTTTCGAAGATAGGAGGTGTGCAGGGAAGACAGGATGGTGGTATTCTTTTATACCCTTTTGTGAGGAAGAAGGAAGGCTGGCAAGGGCTGAGGAGGAGGAGAGGAGGAAGTCAAACACAGAATTTGACAATTCCTCCAACTTAAACTCCACTGCCTGCAAACCAAGGCTGTAATTTACCCTCTTCAACAGCTCTTTAGCCTCATTCTGGGAAGCCAGGTAAGGGAGCCCCATGACGGCCTTGTCAGACAACAACTAGGAAAATGCTGGTACCGCAGGTTCCACTAGGCTGTTTCCATTGGTCCACCTGCCTCAAAAACTGCTCTGCTTACTCCAGAGACTAGTGAAGATAAGCAGTGGCAATTGGATTTGTGGTTCCTAACTGATACCACCTGTCATTTGAATGAACTCAATCTGAAACTTCAGAGAAAGGGGAAGCTGACTTGTGATA